CCATACAGGTATGTGCAGAAGGGACTGGGAAAAGTGACAGAGTGCTGTTGGGAGGTTCATTTTCTCACGTTTAGAGAGAAAGTGAACTTACCCTTTAAAATGCCAAGACTTTGTTTAGGTTTTGGATAGAGTGGGACAGGATAAGAACACCTGTCAGATTATTACTGCTGTCTGTATACCCATGAGAGAGTTTCACCCTCTGTTTATCCTGGTGACCATTATCAACGAAAGTAAAAAGAAAACCCCAAATTCACATTATATAGTGTGGTGGAACACATACATTTTCATGTGTTGAGATAGGCAGACCATTCAAAATGAAGCTTTCAATACATGGAAAAACAGGTCCTGCACAATTTTGTACAGCGCAGGCAATGTATATGCATCCTTGTGCTGCGAAGTGTATAAAACGGGTGCGCTGGGGAGCAGTAAACTTTGCACTGAAGCAAGAATTTACAGTGCATTGCTATGAGGCACGTTAAAACAGGTCGTGACACGTGTTTTGGTGTGAATGAGCCCTTAAGGTTATGCCGAAGTGTTATGAATATAGTACGATCTTCATAGGATTGTAGGTGTCTATTTATAAACAAACAATCAGCAGCACCATTTGCCCTGCAAATCTGAACATATGCACTGTGAGAACAGGACCAAAAACAAACAAACTTTGTACATATATTTTTTTCAGGGTGAATGTAACAGTCGGAAAATACTGCGTTATGGCCACTAGACGGAGCGGAGGGGCATAGAAAATAAACGTTAAGTTTTTGAATCTATTAACACTGAACAAAAAAACTTAGCAGAAATTTGCAGGTCAAATGGCTCTGCAAATTGTTTATAAACAGATCCCTTAGTGATGGATAGGGTCGGAGGAATACATTAGATCTTTATTGGCATTAAACTGTTTTTCAAGATCACAAAACATAATGGTAACAGTTATGACCTTCGCTTGCCAACAAGTTGTATGGTAGTGAGTCTGTTTAAAAGAATGCAACCTTCCAATAACAAAATGATGCCATTAATTCCATGGGGTGAGGCCAACCGAGCACAGAGGTCTAACTTCCTAATATATGAATGTTTCCATAAATACATACATTACAGGGAAGTGTATCCCCAGCATGCATTTAAGCTATTGGCTTCTGAGAGTATTTAAATAGCTGCAGACCAGGAAAACAAATCTCACCCCTTTACTGATAAAACCAGATAAAAGACTAATGGTTACTTGTGACATCATAGTAGCCACGTTTTCTTTGAAAAGTGAGTATACTTACAGGCACCATGATCTGTTTACAGCCAGAGTTTAAAACCGTTTCTTGAAGCATTTTGTCCGAGATGCCACTAAAAAGTGTGTGTCCAGGAGGAAGGCTGGCTAAATGAAGATTAAATAAACGCTTAAGTTCACTCAAAGTCAACACATACTGCCTCTTAAATGTAGACGCAACAAACTCAAAAAGTTCTTTTGCTATTGAATCTTTATCTCCTTTAGAAACAGGCCCATTCACTGACTCGTGTGAGTTTTCATCCATATGAACACCGTTGACCATGCCATTGTTCAGACTGTCATATTCTGAGGTGTCCATGCTTTCCACATCACTCAATGGTTCCTCTTTAATATGGACATCAGCCACAACTGCCATGTGGGATGTCTGCTTGGTCTGCTCTTTTTTCCGCTGCAAGTCCTTCTCCAACCTGGCTTGGTTCTCCTTGGCCTTGACTCTTGCCATGTTCACCATCTGGTCTCCAGAGATTACAGTATATGGAGCTGTTAAGGATGCAAAAAACACAAACATGTTACAAAAATGAATGGAGAAATTGGCTATGAACATGATCATATCGCCTTCAATTTAAGTGGCGATTGAGTTTTTACAGCACCAAAATGGTAGGCAAGAAGCCAGTCAGTTTTTTAAGAGTGAAAAGTTAATCTTGCTGGAGTGGATTAAACAATGGAAAAGGACTGAAACACTAAACTTTCTGAAAAAAATAAGCTGCTCAAATCTGTATTTAGAGTGGAGAGCTAATTGCTACACGTCTCATAGCAAACCTGTGTTTCAGCCATGAAGAGCAAAATAGGTTTGCTTTAATGCCACCCCAACGGCAGCACATACTAGCCTTTCCTTCACAACCCCACCACTTTGTTAAGCAGCTAAGAGAAGAAAAGGAAGCCCTAGGTAAGCTCCAACTCACTGTTTTTGGAGCTTACAATGGGCTGAGGACTCTTTTCCAGCCGCTATCTAGCACAAGTAGCAGTGCATTCAGATGAGAGCAGTGTTAATTTCGTCGACTAATCATTTGTCATAGTTTTAGTCAACAACACTTTTTCAGTGACCAAAACTAGGCTAAAACTAAATAAAAAAATAAGTTATGACTAAAAGTATAACGAAAATATATTGACATTTTAGTCGACTAAAATGTTAGGGAGGGACTATTTGGGAAGAAATCCAAATCACAACAAATCTATTTGGACTTCCAGTTCGGGTTCCATCTTGTATGGACAGCGAATAGGTAATATGTGCAGCAGCATTACAGCCAATATTTTTCCATTTTAATATTTTAGAGTTGTACTTCTGCTTGAAAGAATGAAGAATGTCATATGCAAGTTGTTATAATCAATGCATGCCCAATTACTGGTCCTTTGTTGAAATTACTCAATATTATAGTTTCTTTATAAGACTTGGTTTAATCTAGTTTTAAGATAGACATATTATACAGTCATGGCCAGAAATATTGGCACCCTTGCATTTCTCTCAGATAATGCACCACTTTGAGCAGAAAATGGTTGCAATTATAAATGTTGACATTCTCATGTTTATTTCTTTTGTTTGTATTGGTATGACAAAAAAAAAGCCAAACCCGACACAATCCACGCAAAACTCCAAAAATGGACTGGACAAAATTATTGGCACCCTCAATTAATATTTGGTAGCATAGCCCTTGGAAAAAATAACTGAAATCAATGGCTTCCTGTAACCATCAATGAGTTTCTTACACCTCTCTACAGAAATTTTGGACCACTCTTCTTTCGCCAACTGCTCCAGGTCTCTCAGATTGGAAGGGTTCCTTTTCCCAACTTCTGTTTTGAGATCTCTCCACGGGTGCTCTATGGGATTTCGATCTTGACTCCAGTCCAGTACTCTCCAGCACTTTGCCTGAAACCATTTCTGGGTACTTTTTGACGTGTGCTTTGGGTCATTGTCCTGCTGTAAGACCCATGACCTCTGACTGAGACCCAACTTTCTAACACTGGGCCCTACATTGCATCCCAGAATTCTTTGGTAGTCTTCAGAATTCATAATGCCATGCACACAGTCAAGACATCCAGTGCCTGAAGCAGCAAAGCAAACCCAAAACATCAGTGAACCTCCACCATGTTTGACTGTAGGGACAGTATTTTTTCCTTTAAGGCCTCATTTCTTTTTCTGAAAACAGTAGAATGATGGGCTTTACAAAAAGCTGTCATTTTGTTTAGTCTGTCCACAGCACATTCTCACAAAAGATTTTGGCTTCCTCAGGTAAGTTCTGGCAAACAGTCTTAAATTAAAGTTCTCCATAATCATAAAGAAATTGGCCTAAAATCATTAGTCTGTATTGTTTAAAAAAAAAGACCTGTCCCTTGAAGAAAAGGTATCGGTAATTGGTATCGGCAAGTACATGAGGGGAAGTACTTGTAATTGGTCCTGAAAAAGTGGTATCGGGACATCCCTACTTAATACCATAAGTAATAACAGGTTAACAGATGGTCACTGCAGTAGTATATAATGGGATTGGAAATTCTAGAGAAACTCTTAAATTATTCTTTAACTAAACCCACTACTGTGGATTTAGTCGACTAAAACAATTCAGAGGACTAAAATGGCATTTCGTTTTAGTGATATTTTAAATGAAAAGACTGACTAAAACTTAAATTTGCTGTCAAAATTAACACCGGATGAGCGTAAGGGGAGTGACATCACAAGCGCCTCGATTTCCAGTGGTATTGTATTGAGTATTTTCTTTGTTCCTGGCACTTAATGGAGCACAGAGGAATGGATAACTAAAAGGGAAGGTGTGTGGTGCTGGGGAGGTGGGCAGTAAAGAAAACAAGTGCTTTCCTCTGCCTGGGCATAAATTTGTTTAAGGCCTACAATTTCACATGCCGCCAGCACTAAGGCTGGGTTCACACCCAGGCGACAGCGTTTTTGATGCACGTTTTTAAACATTTTACCAGGCGTTTGTGCGGCTAAATCAAGTAATGCGTTTGTGAGCAGATTGATGCGCAAAACGCGTGCAAAAACACAGCAAATAAGCGTTTTCAAGCATTTCCTATTGAGTCTATGGGGCCAAAACAAGCAGTTATCTGCCAAGAAAAAGCTCCTGTACCTTTTCCAGCGACAGGCATTTTGCTTATTGTAACAAAACGCTCAGGTGTGAACGTGCCATAGAAATGAATTTGATTTTTTGGGGGACATAATTGTGTGCGTTTAGGGCAGAAAAAGCGGCACAAAACGCTCAGTATGAACCAGGTCTTAAAGGAACCTGAAGCAGTAAACCTTCAAGTAAATTTCTTAACCACCCCACCCCCCTCAAAAAACCCAAACATTTCTCATAGCTAGAAGGAAGCCAGTGAATGGCCACAATGCGGAGAGGATAATTGGATAAGAATTGACAGAATGAGTTAGGGCTGCAGCTAACGATTATTTTCATAATCGATTAGTTAGCCGATTGAGTTCGATTAATCGACTAATCGGATTTAAAAAAAAAAAAAAGGGCTCCAGTGATGGTCTACTAGTTTCTATTGAGATTGTAGTCCATCACGGGAGCAAGCTTGGCGCGGTGGAAGTAAAAAAAAAAAAGTGTGGTGTGCAATATAGTACATTATACAGCGGCGCAGTGCAGAATACCAGCAGCTATAGAGGAATGTAGCAATAGTACATTATAGTATAATGTACTATTGCTGGGATTTGTAGTCCTCCATAGCCGGTGGTATTCTCCATTGCGCTGTATAATGATTATATGGCGAAATGCAGAATACCAGCAGCTATATAGGAATACAACAAATGCCAGCAACAGTACAACATTATACTATAATGTACTATTGCTGGGATTTGTAGTCCTCCATAGCCGGTGGTATTCTCCATTGCGCTGCACAATGCAGATTACCACTGACGTTATAGAGGAACTACAAATCCCAGCAATAATACATTATACAGCGCGATGGAGAATACCAGCAGCTATAGAGAAACAACAAGTCCCAGCAATAATACATTATACAGGCTGTTTAATGTATTATTGCTGGGATTTGGTGTTCCTCTGTAGCTGCTGGTGTTCTGCAGTGTGTCACTGTATTATACAATGCAGAACACCATGCACAATACAATGCAATGCAGAAAACCAATGTATAATACACCGGCACACTGCACAACATTAGCAGCTATAGAGGAACAACAAATCCCAGCAATAATACTTATACAGGGTGTTTAATATATTATTGCAGGGATTTGGTGTTCATCTATAGCTACTAATGTTCTGCAGTGTGCCGTTTAAAAAAAAAAAACAAAAAACACACAGGAAACATTAAAAAGCTCCCGGCCGATCTCAACTTACCTTGAATGACGGTGTTGTCGGCGGGCAGCGGCGTTGTTCGTTCTCGGCGGGCAGCGGCGAGTTGGGAAGCTCACCGGGAGGAGAGGGCCAGAAGCATGTCCTCAGCGTGGGCGCGGCGTCGCGTGACACCAGCGTAGGCGCGAGCGGCTTAACTGACGTGGGCGTGGCGTAAGCGGCAAATTTGAATTTTAGTCGACGAATCGACGATGGAAAACGTTGGCAACGTTTTCCATCGTCGATTTTAATCGACTTAATCGAATAATTGTTGCAGCTCTAGAATGAGTATATGCATATCGGTCCAAAAGGCATTCTAGATTACAGCTCTGAATGATCAAATCTAATTTTTTTTTGTAAGTCTTGCTTAACAATAGGCCACCATAAAGGCTATTTGTATGGCTGGCGAATATCAAGTAGTGAGGACCATAATATGTTGGAAGACAGCCAATACATGTAATCAATGAAACCAAAACAAAAAGATCTTTCAGTTATGGGTAAATGCCGGTGGACCAAATCGTCGACTGCCTCATTATTTCAGGATCTGCTCTCTTGCTTACTCTTCCACTTCCAGTAATGTAAAACATTAAATCTTCCACTTCCAGTAATGTAAAACATTAAACAGAGGGAGAACATTTCCAAAGCAGGTGGGTTGCCCTGTCAACTCAATTCACCGACCCTTCCCAGAGCTAAAAGATTTATTGTGGGTGCCCTGACCCCTAAATTTTTAAATAATTTTTACAAAAATTACCTGAAGATGGATCCGACTTTTTAGACATACTGTCCTTTGACAAGCTGAAGACCTTCTCTAGCCTATAAAAGAAATGTTGAAAAATAAGAACATACAAGTAATATCCTATTGCGTCCTAAATACCAAACCTTAATGCAAAAGCTACAATACATATGTAGACCAAATTTGTTGGTACCTTTATAACTCATTGAAACAATGATTCATTCCTCATGGAAAGGGATTACATTCGTTTGTCAGAGTAAAGCAAGAGTGTGAAAAGAGATAAGTAGTTTATTTTACAAAGATATTCTAAAATGGTCTGGGCACATTTGTTGGCACCTCTAGAAAAGATTATAATTAGATCATAGTGATATTTCCTACTGTTTTCTGTAATTGGTATTACATATGTCTTCAATATTGTAGTCAGTCTATTTAAATGGAGAAAAGTAGTTATTCTGCTGTTTGGTATCATCGTGTTCACCACACTGAACATGGAAGAGAGAAAGCAAAGGAGAGAGTTGTCTGATCAGAGAGTAAATTAAAGACCAGCATGTCAAAAGGTAAAGGCTATACAATCTCCAAGCACCTTGATGTTCCTATGGCTACAGTTGCAAATATTAAAAAGGTAAAAAGGTCCAAGGGAGTGTTACCAACCTCCCTGGATGTGGTCACAAAAGTAAGATTAACTCCAGATTGAACAGAAGGATAGTGAGAATGGTAGACAGAGCCAAGGAAAACTTCTAAAGAGATACAAGCTGACCTCCAAGGTCAAGGTGCATCAGTATCTGATCTCACAATCAGTCGATTTTTGAACAGAGGGCTCAAATGAAGATGACTCCGGGGGAAGGGGGGGGGACACCCCACTGTCAAAACACACATAAGACTGGAATTTGCCAAAATGCATATTGACAGAACATTGGACTATTCGCAAATAGCCCAATGTAACCTACTGAACATCTATGGAAAGAGCTGAAACATGCAGTCTGCAGAAGACACCCTTCAAACCTCAGACACCTGGAGCAGGTTGCTTAAGAACAGTAGCTCAAACTACAGACGTCCCATTGAGAGCTACAGAAAACGCTTATTTTACAGCAATTGCAAATATAAGGTTAGGGGTCCCATCATTATTGTTCATGCCATTTTCATTTGTCTTATTTATAATAGTCTGTTCAACCAATCATTGAAAGCAAAGTATAATTTTTTTTTTTAAACATGGGATAAACTATGATGAATGGGATAAGCTATGATGGATGGCAATTACTTCATCTTATTTTAGAGAAAACAGAGTGGTTCTTCTTACATGGAAGGGTACCAACAAATCTGTCCACGTATGTAGAGGATATGCGCTATACTACAGAGTATATATTAAGCTTGGCATGGTCAGTACTGTTTATCACTAGCAATGGTATCCTCCTTTGTCCTGCAGAAAAAAAAACCACAGGGCCAATAAAAGAAAAAGAAAAGAAAAGGTCAGATCAATAAAATAATTTTACTGGCTTAGTGTTTCAAATCTGCTTTAGTGAGATTTGGGTAGAATTCCTTGACTATCCGATACAGATTGCAAATGTAAGCCAAGGAATTCATCTAATAGATCTCAGTGCTTTGCTCATTCACAGAAAAAAACCCCCCAAAATAAAACCACCTTGAATAATCATAATAACTTGGTCAATGTACTACCCTGCTTCAGAGTTCTACAAAGACATGCAAGGCTAATAAGAACAACATTCTGCAGTCTTGTATGCTTCCACTCTGCCAAGCACTTTTAAGCCCAAATTCAGGCTCATTTAATTTTCAATGTCCCCCCTTCACTCTGAGGCCGTTCCCTCCAGTCTTTTCACCACAAGATGTCCTTAGGCTTTTTGGATTGAATGACACTCAGCATTATTCAACCCAGAAAGCGATAGACAGGAGGTAAGTGCAGGTCATTACTATGGTACATTTCAGTTACTGTGGAATGGTGCAGAGACTGGCGCTGACAAATTCACGTCACTGCCACTCTTTGCACTGCCCATTTCCATGTGAAGATAGAAAGGGACCCTGTGGTATCACATGAAAAACAAAAAAGTATAAAATCACTGCTGGGGGGCCTTCAGAGGGGAGTATGGGGGTGGGGGGCAATCACAAACAGTGAGCCCAGAGTTAAGTTTCAAGGATACCTTCAGGAAGCACATAGTTTTGCAGAGGCACTCTGGCTCTCTCTTTTCTCCTGTTGTGCTCATATCACGTGCAGGGAAGAATCTGATTAACCTAATTAGTGAAGCCTTAATTAAGATCGCTCTAATTAAGAAGGGCCTTGCCCTCCACACTCTTTCCATAAGCAGCAATAATAAGCCTGTCTGACTAGTAAGATCATGTTCACACACGTATCATATTAGCACAGACCAGCTCCAATAGCCGGTGAAACAAGATCACAATGCCACTAAGCAGTAGGGAAATATGAAGGACAAATTACACTTTGTACTCCACAACATGGATTAAAGATTTAAATATGGTTTAACCAATTGAATACCAGGGTGTTTAACCCCCTTCCTGCCCAGGCCATATTTTTTTAGTATTCAGGAGCTGCGGTACTTTGACATTTATTCAGTCATGCAATACCGTACCGAAATGATTATATTTTTTTGGGGGCAGATAGAGCTTTGTTTTGGTAGTATTTAACCACCACTGGGGGTTTTTTTTTTCCTCTAGATAAAAAGAAAAAATTTACCAAAAATTCTGAAATAAAAAAAAAATAATCTTTATGTTACGATACATTATTTTGCAATTTTTGGGTAAAATATAAAAGATGGGGGTCACAACAGGCAAACAGATACCCAAAACATGTAAAGCCTTAAAATTGTGTGCCTGTGAAATCGCTAAAAACTACCATGCCTAAAATTGGCCATAGGCGACGCTTTAAAAGCTTTTACTGCTCATCAGTTTAGTGTTAACAGTGATTGATGGCCTTAGAATTATTGCTCGCACTCTGACATTCGTGATTATATTCAACATGCATGGTACAATTGTCATTTCTGAACGTAGGTGCACCTGATGCGTGTGCGTCTTTAGACTTTTTTGGTGTTTTTTCTATATATGTGACCAATTTACACTTACATTTAACTCAGGAGCTAAATCTTAAAAATGCATTCAAGTAACCCATTAACATTAATGTAGCTTACTTGTGTACCACCCGATGTAGATCCTCAAATCATCTCTGAATTCATGCCGACATTGTCCTTCCTTCTGGAGGGTGGCTACTTCATGGTCCCTGTGTGTTGTTTAGTAGCCACCGCTCCAGGCTCACTTCTGTGATGGACTACAATCTCAGGTTTGGTTTGATAAACAGTACTGACCATGCTCATTTGTACCGAGATTGTAGTCTATCATGGGAAGGAGCTTGGAGGGTGGCTACTTTACAACACACAGGGACCATGGGGACCAAAAGTAGCCACCCTCCAGAAGGAAGGACAGTGTCAGCACCAATTCAGAGACGATTTGAGGATTTACAACAGAGTGATACACTAATAAGCTACAATTTTTTAACAGTTAAGGTACTTGAATGCATTTTTAATATTTAATGGCTGAGTTGAGTGTCACTTTAAATTTTATCACAGTGGGCTAACAAGCCTCCACGTGATAGCACAGATACAAGTAGTGAAATATGTTAGATTTTTTTTTTTAATAAATCACTTTATGCCAGCAAAATATTTTAGACATTAGTTATGGAATGCTTTTGTAGGACATACTTTGCTTGGATCCCTTTCCAGAGCATGGACTGCCTCTGAACCACATCTGGGTGTTTCTTCATAAAATCCTCATCGTAAGGCAACATGAACTCCCAGCCTTTGTTGATTCTTGGGACGGCCATTTGATCCAGGAATTCCTTCACATCTTCTTGGCAAAGCTGCAGAAAAAAATTCTCATTAACTTTTTTTGACATGTCTACAGCTTCAGATTTAAAAAGTGACACTATTGTACTTTTCAAAGCTATAGACACTAACAGCCTCATTGGATAACCAACAGCTTCATTCAAAGAGCAATTTGCTTATTGAAACTGCCTTATGCTATAACAACCAAGCTCAGTGTTTTGTGCAACTGCAATCCTTGTACCTTCAGCCTTGGGCAGTCAACTGAGACACTTCTGCAAATATCTGCATCAAATTTACCATTTACCACTGTCGAGATAGATTTTCACACTTCCATAATGTAAAGTATTAACTATAGAGATTTGTAACTAGGCGGCTCAGGACAATTACTCCATCTCTGCTGAGATAAGATATTCACCACACAGGGGGTGTATTCTTTTCAACTCAGTCTAGCATTGTAAGCAGCAGCAATAAAGCACAACCATTGAGTAAACACTGCAAAAGCATAAAGCAGAGAGAGCATAAGTTATACATATACAGTACTTCTGCCCTGATGACACAAATACAAAAAGTTTACATAACAGCACAGTTGTGATGACATTATATGTCCTTTACAAAATCCAATATGGAGGCACTGGGAACAAGCCAATACTCGCATATGATTTCATCTTTCTATAACACTGGATTTCCCAATCATGTTTTAATCATACAGTAGATAAAAAAAAAAAAAATTAAAAAAATCTACACAACTCTGTCAAATTGCTAGGTTTTTGAAAAGTAAAAAAAAAAAAAACAGACCAAAATAAAAAAATCACTTTCAGATTTTTTTTCCCCACCTTTTATTTGAAACCTATAATTTGTTCAATTCAATAAAAAAAAGTGAAAGTCTTTAGGGATGGAATTTTTTTTTTAAATAACTTGGTTGCATATTAATATGCACACCCTTAAATTAATACCCTTTAATTCTTTGTTGAAGCACTTTCTGATTTTATGGCAGCATTCAGTCATTTTGAGGTAGGAGTCTATCACCATGGCACATCTTGCTTTGGGAATTTTTGCCCACTCTTCCTTGCGAAAACGCTCCAAATCTGTCAAATTGCGATGGCGTCTCCTGTGCACAGCCCTCTTCAGGTAATCCCACAGACTTTCATTTGGATTCAGGTCTGGGTTCTGGCTAGGCCATTCCAAAACTTTAGTCTTCTTCTGGTGAAGACATTCTTTTGCGGATTTAGGAGGTATGCTTTGGGCCTGAAGGTTTTGTGCCAAAACTGATATTTGGAACTGTTCATAAGTTCCTCCATCTTAACTAAAACCTCAGTTCCAGCTAAATGAAAACCGCCCCAAAGCATAATGCTACTACCACCATGCTTCACTGTGGGTATGATGTTCTTTGGTGATAGTGTTTTTGCACTAAATATACTTTAAGGAATTATGGCCAAAAAAGCGAAATCTTGGTCTCATCAGACCAGAACACATTTCCCACATGCTTTTGTAAAAAAATGTAAGTCTAAGAAAAACATCCAAGTTTTTCTTCTTATTAGTCTGGGGGGTAGGGTGGCTTCTATCTTGCTACCCTACCCCCAAAACACATATGAAGAATATGGGAGATTGTTGTCACATGTAGTACACAGCCAGTACTTGCCGGGAGGGGGGAGGTGTCGGAGAAGTAAGGCCGAGCGGTGAGGAGAAAGACACTCAGCCAGGATCTGACAGCCGGCGCGTCTCTCTCTCCTCACTGCTCGGACTAACTTCTGTGACAGCGACTCCCTCCACGGCAGAAGTGCTTCTTTCCTGGGTAAGCAGCGAGGATCCAGAAAAAAAAGCTGAGTCCCTGTGTGCGTGGCGGAGGATCGGTACATATCAGTGATATGTTCCGATCCTCTGTGCAGGACAAACATTGGAGCAATCAGCTGATCACTCCAGTGTTTGTAAATAACTGGGAACACAGTACTATGTGTTCCCAGTTATGAATGAACAGGAAGTGATTTACATCACTTCCTGTTCATTCATGATTTTCTCAATGGGGAGTAGCATTGTACAGAGGCTCCTCCCCATTCAGAAACTGGATGATAGTAAATATTTTCTGAATGAATGGCAAAAGCCTCTGTGCTTTCCATTTATTTAGAACAGAGGCTGCAGAAAAAGATTGAGGACTTGAGGACTTTGAGTCCTCAATTTCTTTTCCCATTTTAAAAAGGGAAATATCAGGGGGGTGTTTAGAACCCTAATATTTCCCCAAAGCCCCCCTAGAGTAAAAACAAAAATGTAAAATTTTAAAAATAAAAGATAAAAAAAATCCTGGAGGCAGGGCACTGGGTGGCATCACACAGGGCGAGGGTCCTGGCTACGGTGCCATTGACTTCAATGCCACGCCCCCTCCCGCCCCTGAATGCAGGTGTTTTTTCGTTGGTAGATCTGATTAAACTCCAGACGAAAAAATTGTGGCCGACCCTGGTCTAGTACTTGGTGATGTCACTGTTGTGCCATATTTTCTCTACTTGATGACTGTCTTCCACGTTCCATGGTAGATCTAATGCGTTGGAATTTTTTTGGACCCTTCTCCTGACTGATACCTTCCAACAATGATATCACCTTGATGCTTTGTAAGCTCTTTGTGGACTATGGCTTGTGCTGTAACAATTTCAGTTTGGTTTTCTCATTAAATTGTACAGGATTATAGAACACATTAACCCCTTAATGACCAGTGACGTCCATAGTCTACCTACAAAGTGCAAATAAACTGCAATAGTCTCAACGAGCCCTTGAAGCCCATTTCGGCTTTTGTGATTAGCATTTACTGTGGTAATGTAGAGGTCCAGTGATTATGTATATGTGTGTATAAGTCACTGTAACAAGATCACTGCACACCAGCTCTGCCTTTCCAGGTTACGATACACTGTCCAGGGGGAGAGTTGCCACTATAAATACTAATGAATGGGGGGAGATAACTCAGAGAGAATGTGTTAATATACACAGTCTGCTTGCAAAGCACAGAGGCGGCCATTTCAAAACGAGCCATGAGGCGATGAAGAGGACAAAAAAAAAAGTAAGTTTCTGTGTTCACATACAACAACTGCATATGTCTGCTTCACGTTCACTCGGTGTACATTGCTGGCATTTAAAAAAAAAAATTACCTCCACAAAAGGTGGAAATGGGCTTTAATGTAATGTCCCTCTTACAGTCACACACACAAACCCCCATACACATAGTATTGAATGATAGCCAAGCTTGCTTTATACTACATACATTACATGTTACAAAGCCCTTACACTAAGTGCATACATGTATTGTGTAATGTTTAATTTCTTACACACCGATAGGAGCATTGCAAATTCTTACCTTTGTCACAGCAGCCACCTCTTTCCTTACTACCCAGCGGTCCTGAGTAAACTTCCACATCTACAAATGATATAAAATATGAAAACTGGTTTGATAATGCTTTCTGAGTGTGCTACACATACTGTCAAGGGTGCATCTGAAAACTAAAAAAAGAATAGTTATTCCACCTGTCAGAAGCATCACTTCGCACACAGATTACACCAAATGTTGGAATATCTTTGTTCCAGACAGCAGACCATGACTACTAACTTCCCAGTGGCTCCAATGTGTTCACAAGCAGCTTCCAGTTTACCATTAGGCACCACATTCCACAATACAATGCAGGTGCCTTAGAGACAAACCACAAGACACTCATATGTGTGCAGCACAGTGCCTCAGTGACTAGCACTTCTGCCACTGGGGGTCCCCGGTTCGTTCGAGTCTCACTGTGCTTACTTGGGTTTCCTCTGGGTAATCCGATTTCCTCCCACGCTCCAAAGACATGCTGGTAAGTTAATTGGTTTATGTCAAAATTGTTCTTAGTATGTGTGCATATAAGAAAGGAACCTTAGATTGTAAGCAATTTGAGGGCAGGGACTGATGTGAAGTGCTGTGTAAAATTGACGGCGCAATATAAATACCTTTAGTAAGAATTCCACTGTGCTCACAACGTTAGTTACATTGGAACTTACATTGCACTGTTAAAGGCGCCAGGAGCACTGCAGAGGCATTTTGACATTTTGTAACTGTAATCTGCCACTGCACAATGCTTGCTAGCAATGCAAAAGGTTAGTTTTCTGACTTGTTGCTAAATACAGGTACATGTTAAAAGGCAAATTATCAATCATTTGGCCCTATAAATAAGCATTACCTTGAAACACTGCAATAGCAATACATTAATGTTATAGTGTTCAAGAGATTGGCTATGCTAATGGCATACCACAAACTAGGCTAACAATGTTTTGTGCTGAGGTGCCATTTGTTTTCAGCCTCTAGTAAACCTCATCTTACTTCTGAATAGCCTGTGCTGATGTTTCAGAGGCCATAAGATGGGGAGAGAAACAAGCTTTTCCAAGCCCATGCTGCACACATCAACAGCACAAAATGATGGCTGCATCTGACACAGTTGCACTGATGCTTTCCTTGTTGCTTTTGTCAACAGTCCCAAACCTAGCAATGTAGACACACTACCTTTGGTCCTGCTCACACCAACATTTCTACAGCATCGTAATGCTTATAATGAAGAAATGAACACTTACAACATAATCTCTTCCCCGACAAAGAACTTCCGCTGGAACCCCACTGTGTGGGCTTGATGATTCCTTTGGATACAACACATCACTAGACAAGAAAGGAAAAAAAAGAAAGCATTAAATTGGCAAACACATTGTGGTATAGAGCTGCAGCTAACGATTATTTTCAAAATCGGTTAGCCGATTATTAAGTTCGATTAATCGGTTAATCGGATAGAAAATAAAATACATTATACAGCTGATATAAAAGCAGTGACAGACCTATTTTTAAAATGATTTTTGGCTTAATAGGTTCCGCAGACACATGAAGGTAAAAAGTATTTTAAAAAATAAAAATTAAGCAACCGAATCAGCTTTTAGCAGTTTCAGTGCACCTTTCCATCTCCCATTATAATCTGCTCCATGCTCAATCCTCCTTCCCTTTAAGTGAATTCAATATACTCCAATTTACCGATTGTTGTAGCTGCATAATTTTTTGTTTTAGGTTTTTCCCTTTATTTACAACTTGGTGATCCAGCCAACGAGTCTATTTTTCAACTTATTTTAACAGACAAAGCTGTCCAGAAAAAGTGGCCGATATTGGGTTGAGACAAACCATGTAATGTTCATGGGGGTGCTTACAATGGTTGGCTTTTGTTCATTTATATAAAACCTTTATCCCAAAAAGGGGAAAAAAAAAGAGAGGTTTTTCTAGCTGTACAAAAACTGTAATCTGGAGTCCAGCTTTAAAGGAGATCTACAAGGTGAATGATTTCCACTCATCCTCATAGTTAGAGATGACCTGTGACAAAAGAAGCTGTCACAGGTTGGCTCTATTGATCGGGAAGTGAGCAGAAATCGCCTCCCTGCAGTGAGCAGGGATTCTCCCCTCTCTGATCCTCCAGCGCTGACTGGCGGAATGGACGGGGGAGGGCACAGCTGGCTCTGCCTCTAGATAGGCAGAGCCAGCTGTCTCTTACGCAGCATTGTCTGGATCCGTACCGGCTGCGGCGCTCAGTATATCGCAGGTAATAGCGGGTATGGAATGGTCAATAATGTTTTTGGTGTACATAGTTTACATGGATTAATGGTGTACACCATTTATAATGCATAGTGCGGCACTTTTGTACATATAGTGGCTAGTTTGCAATCTTCACCTGAAACTGTTTTCCAGCATTTTTTGCATACTTTGTGCTAATAAACCCGATTTATAACCTGGCAAACTGACTGCATACCAAAACTAGAGCACAATAATGCACAATGTCAAGTGATGAGCATGGGTGCTATTCTGTGCTGAAGAACAGTTGTCACCAATTGTACAAGTCCCCCACTTTCTGTTCAAAAACGGATATACATTGTTTGGTTCAGCATTCTTTATAAACAAGTCCCTAAGAAGATATGCAGAAAAATAAGCTGCAAATAACATTCTATCAAACAGAAAACATCATTTTACCTTTTAACAACCCAATTTCCTTGGACCAACAACGCCACCTGCTGTATACATCGAAGGACTGTAATGGATTCTGTTCCTGCTGCCATTAAGCCCATGAGGTTGGCAAAAGGTATCACCTTAACTATATTGATAGTGAGAGAACAGTAGAACATGTTATTACTGCTCAAAAACATCCATATCTGTTATATGCATGCAGTTATACACTTTTGGCTTTACCAAATACTTTATGCAAAATTAAAAAGCAAAGTGCAGTACAATTATACATATATATTCTTAACAGTTAATCCAAATCTATGATTATAAAACAATACACCTTCCATACCCTTCCCATCCCTCCTCCCTTCCCCTCCCCCCCACATAACAGGAATCGGGATCTTAATTCTCACTTCTTAATAAATGATCTCTAAGCATATATCTACACCTTCATCGTTCTAAAATATTCCCTCCACGGTCTCCATCTTGTTTCAAATCTTATGTAGTTATCATATAATCAGGCAGTAAGCTGCTCTAATCGCATAGTGTTATTCATTTCCACTACCCACTCCACCATCTGGGGGACCTTTGTTGACCTCCAATACATATTTGCACTATTTTAATAAAAAGTCAATGGAGGACATTGCAATTCGGTTGCAGCAAAGTAGTTGGAAACAAGAGCAGGGACAGATTGTGCGAAAGATTTACTACAAAGTTACAGCTTAAGTTGTAAAATCCTGCCTCAGATGCTCTACAGTATCCCTGTGACAACATAGAACCCAACTCTGCCCATTTCCTAATTATGTTCCTGTCAAAATATGTTTAATTTTCAGTAATAAATGTCTCAGAGCTTTGCAAACTTGGCTGTTCAGGAATACAGACACACGGGTCTGTAAACTAGTCACAGAGACTTTCCTGAAGGAAAGGCAGCCTGACTTGCAGGGGAATTGTATTGCTAATTTGCCTGATAAATGTCCCCCAATGTATGTGTTAAACTAGTGGGACAAAATTGCTCCTACAGGTAAAACTTGATATCACGGCCTGTCTACAAAAGAAATATAGCGGCAGCATTATATCTGTGTTTGCGTTTAATAAAAGGAGGTTTATATAAGCAATGGGAATAAGAAACTCAATACTATAGCCATATAAACAATAAGTAAAATATGAACAACACTTTTTCTGCTATTTTACATTTAGTACGCTCTTTGTAATGTAAAAACCCTGCCCTGCATGTACCATTTTTCATTAGAATCTTGATTTGATCAGCCAGTGGTAGAGTCCTCAGCTGAGCCATCGATAACACATTGCTAGGTGCAACAGGCTTCTCTCTGTAGGGAAATGACATGATCACTTACAGCAAGAACTATGCGATTTAGACTTCATTATTGTAAAACTAATGCAAAAGTAGTTATATAAATAGCCAGACAAGTAAAACTCCGGCCAAAACTATTTTTTTGTTTATTTAAAGCAGAGAGAAATTCAAGCTGGCCAGGTTTTGATTGCCGTCTGTGTCATGGTTTAGGGAGATTATCCCTCTAGACACAGAAAGCAATGCACAAACACATGAAATTTCTTTCCAAGGGTTGACAATATGACAAATAATGTAAAAAAACCAAGTGCTTACGTTTCTTCCTCAACACTGGGGGGCATCAGCATTTGTAGATATTCACTAAAGCAAAAGGAAAGAAACACATTGTTACATTGCTTAGTGTACACTTTGCAACCATTGGTCTGCAAAAGAAGAAGTCTGTAAAAGTGCAGGAATAATATTAAACACCTTTCATATTGCAATCACTCTGTCCCTTTCAGGCCCCCAAAGAGAACCAGTCACAATAGTTGGGAAATCTAAAACACAGAATCTAAAATTGTTTTTAGTCTGCAGACTTACCTTTAAAAGAGTTCTATTCTAGAACTCTAGAATAGGTGTATTTTAGAAAAATGGAGGACTACGAGAGCCAAGAGGCCCACTGACATCTGACATCTGACATTTGCTTTCTGGTCAGATGCCTGAATTCCTGTTGATAACACTCATGGTCTTCCAGCACCTACATAACCATCACAGCATTAATCACAGTTGTGGATATTCCTCTAATGTGAAAGGCTTTGCGATCCGATTGTGTTATTCCCCTCCCAGAAAACAGTACTTGGTTAGCTGGCTAGAAAGCAACTGTTAGGCCCTGTCTTGATGGGCTTTTGCTTGCTTCAAGCAGGATTTGCATTACCATAAGCCCAAATCTGCTTGAAGCAGGACAAATGCACCCGCCAATGAATTCTGAAAGAGCTCAGAAGCGACAAACTGATGCCATCAACCCCAACCCTGAGGCTTTAGGTAACCTTTTGCCTCCAACTCCCTAGGCCTACAATCCTAAATTAAAGTAGAACTAAACTCTTGCTTAAAAAAACATTGCTGGCAGGCAAATTTTTTTTACTGCAGAAGAGACACTATTGCAAAATAAAGTGTATTACCTGTCTGCCAGCAATTGTATTTCTAAAAATGCGCAGCTCAGTGTAAAATCCTGGCATCTGCCAGTGTACATTTTCAGGCGTTACACCATCTCGGGTTGGACAGTCAAGATAGCGAACATGGAAGAACATGGCGAAGGTGTCAGCAGCAAAGATGAAGGACATCACAGTGCCGGAAGGGGGGTGCTTTGGCAGGCAAGTCTGCCATGATGTGCAAATATAGGTTGTACATACTTGCACATCATGGCAAAAACCCTGAGTGCTGGCAGTGGAGTTTAATTTAAAGGTAAGTAAGGGGGTGGGGGGGGGGGAAACTTTTAT